CCTGAGCTGCTCACTATAGCGGCATATTAAAATATCAGTACAAGCACACTGGCATAGAAAAAAACTATTTGCAGACCCAAAGTTCAAAACTATTGCAGACCTAAAGTGTTATGGGGAGAAGGAATGAGAATACTGGGCAAAAGCAAGGTGACTGAAAAGCACATCTTTTACTTCAGTAACCATCATGAACCAACTCCTCAGGGTGAAGAGAAGGAAGATAAGGTGAGATGGGGAGACAGAGTATCTGTGGGGCCAAAGCGTCTGAGTTCTGAAGGAACCAAAGTTACGTCATTGCAGTCCAAAAGGGCGAGAAGGTTGGAAAAACACAAACACTAAAGCTGAGGCAGGGTACAAGTCAGGGTGTGGAGCCCAGAGTTTGGAGTTGACTTGGAGGAGGCAGGAAGCTTTGAGGCACTTAACACCGTCCAGTGGACATTTGGTGTCAGTGTGTCCAGCTTTAATGTCATTACACATATCTCAATAGGATGAATAAAGCTCGACTACTCCAGTGCTTCAAATTTTTCCAAAGGAGGACAGGTTAGGGTGGTACTGAAGCTGTGGGTGGCAGCTAAGTGGTCCTAGATATAGGTAGAAGGACTCATTAGGGGACTAAGAGTCAGGCAGGCCAGTGAGAGGATTAGAGAGAACTGTTTGTTCCTCTCTAAGCCATCTAGTATTGCAGACATTGTGATGCACATTTTTATAAGCGTGCTTGAAGAGAAAAATCAAAATTCAGCATTTTTTTTACCCTGAAGATGCTAAGTGGGATTTTCACAGTAATGAGGCTGTTCTTCAAAAATGACCTCATACTTTAAAATCTGCTACCAATTAAAGGCTTGATTGATGTAGGGCAACACTATTTAGCAGACTTCTACTTTCTAAAGAGTCTGGTGTGATTACCAGCTTTGGCAGTTAAGAGGTCACAGTGACCTTGTGTTTGCATAAGTCAATAAAATTATGATATTTATTTGAGATGATTCATCAAATAAAGCTTTGGGTTAAAAATATCTCTTGGCAAACTAATATTCTTTTGGGGGAAAAAGATAGATATATCATTGGTGGGCAAAAATAAATATCCATGTTATATAATTCCCTCCATAAACCCACAGTTAAGTTTTTGTTCTGGGAACTTAATAATAGAATTCACTGAAATTGAGCCCTTACAAGCTGATGAGTAGTACTAAAGATCTGTATTATAAAATTTAGTAGTCTTAAGCATGTCTCTTTCTTTTATGTTAAAGAAAAATATTTTTTCATATTAGGAATTACACTATAATTCCTATTATGGAAAAATTGAAAGATGCACAAATATAGAAAATAAAAGATATCTTTATTAGTGCTATCACATTTAGCATATGTTTCCTTTGCATAAGTATGCATACATTTTTTTAAAAAGTTGCATCCAAACATATTATTTTAACCAGTTTATTTAGCCTAACTTTATGTCATTAGAATTTTATAGCACATTGTTCCTAATTATGTTTTTACTTATCCTTGTTAAATATCAATTTATAATGGTTCTGTGCTATACTATACTACAAAGTGACATGCCATAATTTACTTAACCTCTTCTTATTTTTGTGCATGCAAACTATCACCACTTTTTTCAATCTTATAAATAATACTTCTATAAAGAACCTATGCATAAATATGTCCCATATTTAGGGTGTTTTTTTAGATTAGATTCTCCCAAGTGGGATTAACATGACAAAAGATCGATCCAGATTTTTCTTTTCAACATATTATGGGGGTACAAATGTTTAGATTACATGTATTGCCTTTTCCGTCCTGACCCCCTAGAGTCAGAGCTTCAAGTGTGTCCATCCCCCAGATGAGGTACATCACACTCATTATGTATGTATCTACCCATCCTCTCCTCCCCCCTCCCATTTGCCTGATGCCACATAAATGTTATTCCTATATGTCCACTTAGGTGTTGATCAGTTAATACAAATTTGCTGGTGAGTACATGCGGTGCTTATTTTTCCATTCTTGGGATACTTCACTTAGTAGAATGGGTTCTAGCTCTATCCAGGAAAATATAAGAGGTGCTATATCACTGTTGTTTCTTATAGCTGAATAGTACTTAAACAGACTTTTATCACTTTACTCATTTCCCTCAATTAGAAAGTGAGTTTTCTCCTTCTCCAAGGTCTGGCCATGGATGTTAGGAACCATAACTACAGGATTTCAAGTTGGTTGGGGATAATGAAAGGAATTTCCAGGCAGATGATGGAGTGGGAAACCAATGACAGAAAGGAAAGTAATTCTGAGAGACTATTGGGCCACCAAGGTTCAAGAGGTGAAAAAGAGAATGTAGCAGACTATCATGGTACCTGCTCTAGATAACTGGATACAGAGATGTGGAGACTAAGAGAACCAATCAAACAGTGAATCGATACTGAACAAGAACTAATACAGGTCATAGGCAATCACCTAGAGACACAGATCTACAATTTTTTATCTGAAATACTTGGGGCCAGGTTTGTTTTAAATCCAGATGTTTGAGATTGGAAAGTTTTTTTTTTTTAAGTTACATATAATGGTAATATAATACATAACACCCCAAAAGGTGTTATAAATAATAAAACATATTAATATTTTTATACTCAAACATTTGGCTCTTGTTGAGATACTTTAAAATTAATGGCAGTAAAGATGAGATCTTGCTGCCAAATGAGTTTGCTGCAAACTTACAAAAAATGGCTTTGGTTTTTGCATAGTATTTTTGTATTTAGGAAATACATACAACAAATTTTGATTATACACTTGATCTTAGCCAAAAGGCCAAGAAGTGATACAAATTTTGATTATATATTGTTATTGGCAGTTTACTTTTAGAGCTGTAGTGCATGACTATGTAAATTGCACTAAAGGGCTAGAAAAAGATTTTTAGCATGTTTCCATATATAAAAAAAATAGAGATTTTATTTCCCTTTGTTTATTTTTACAAATATTTTTCCAAAGGTTGTATAAATTAGGTATTTTAAGTATATTTTGTTGAAAGAAGTGAAGTATTTGTCTGTCTCTGAATTTTTCTATCCAATCATATATTAAAAACAAATACAAATCTTTCCCTAAGACAATCAGGAGTATTTTTTCTGAAAAGTCTCCTGGTGCAAATTAGACTTTTAAAGCAAATATTTGATTAAATATTTGGAAGGCATAAACTATGATATTTAGAAAGAAGAGAAGATAGATTTACCCTCAGATTTATTCATTTCCTTGACAATTATTGCTTCTTTTTCCTGTTTAAAATTTATCTTTGCCCTGGTAATCATAAAAATTAAAATGTAGTGTTGGATATTCATACCTGAAAAAGTGACTCATTGGAAGAAAGAAGTTTGGATTCCTTTTTACTTTGTAATTTGTATGGTGGAAATGTTCTTTTTTTCCCTTTTTACACATACAACTTGATCTTTCTTAGAAATGTAAAGGTCATTATTATCAGATAAGAAAGATGGGAACATAATCAGAAGCCTCGAAAATGTAATTTATTTCCTATGTCTCTGCTATTCAAATAGATAGTTCTCTATCAACATTATTCTCAAATGCTACATAGATGGTGATTCATATATCTTCCCTTGGTATCATGTTCTTATATTTTATTATTTATATTCAGAGAATTTTGTTCAACTTCTAACCTGATTCTTTTTGTAATTTAAATTCATTACTTTAACCCTATTTTCACTTGAAACAACAAGTAGGCACTTTTCATCAAATTATATCTATTCTCATAGTTGAATATAGCATTAATCTTCAACTTTTGTTTCTCTATAGCAGCAGTCCCTAACCTTTATGGCACCAGGGACAGTTTTCATGGAAGACAATTTTTCCACAGCCTGGGGATGGGGTGGATAGTTTTGGGATGATTCAAGCATGTTACCTTTGTTGTGCACTATATTCCTATTATTATTACATTGTAACATATAATGAAAATAATTATACAACTCACTACAAGTTGGGGACCCCTGCTCTATAGTAAAAAAAATATTTAATTAAAAAATTATGCACTGCAAATTATTTTCATGCCCTCTGTATTTGGGTCAAAAGCAAAATGCAAAAACCTAATAAAGGGGTAACACTGATAAATATGGTGACAATTACCATTCAATCAATTGGTATTTATATAGGTCTAATTGAGTGGTAAGGAACAGAGTGGTGATGAATAAAGAAATGCATGAATAAAACGACATGAAGAGATTGGTCATTAGACTGTCTCTGAGGGGTGTATAGTCTACAGAGGAGATAATATGGATTTAAAAAGGGATCTAAATTCAGTCAGACAAACCTTGGTTTGAGTCTTAGCTCCATCTGTTATCTGCATTAGGCACTTGACTAAAAAGCCCTCAGTGCCAACTTTCTGAGTGATACCTGTTACCCTGTGGTAGGATATTTGTGAAGATTAAATAAGATGATGCATTCCAGGGGCCTAATACAATTCTGCCTCTCAGTATTCGGCAAAAGTTATAATGCTAACTATTCATTTATTAAAAATAAATATAGGATACTTACTAGGTGCCAAGTGTTCACGTGGGACTGGAAAATGAACTGTATGCATAAGATCATGTCCTTTTTCTCAGAGAGCTTATAGTCTACTGGGAAAAACAATTATGCAAATGGGCAACTACATTATACTGTGATGAGTGCATGACAGAGGCAAGACAGAGTGCTATAGATGCTGATAAAGGGGATTCATAACACATTCTTGAGGGGACAGGGTTAGCTAGCTGAGAAATTGAGATCCAAAAGATAATGTGAAATTAAGCAAAGAAAGTGGAAGAAGAATGTTCAGCACAGAATGAAAAACACGTGCCAAAGAGAGATGTGTGATACATAGCACAGTGATTTCTGGAAATAAAGTATTTAGCCTACCTGGAGCATGAGTGTAAAAATGGGAGTGATGCAAAGGAAGGATAAAGAGATAGACACAGGCCTGGCCACAAAAGGGTATATCAGCCATGTAAACAAGTTTTGATTTCATGTGAAAGTCAGTGGACAGTTTTATTGAAGTGCTTTGGCAGAAGATGTGATATAGTAGATATAGAGTATACCACATAGAGTCCACTTCAAGGAAGGATCACTGTCCAGGAGGGAGTATGTTCAGCACGTGGCCTTCAGTGTCAGCTAGGTCAGAGTCTGCTTTAGCTACAGAAAATCTCCTCTCTAATGACCATCTTGCTTCTCTTTGCTTCTGGAGAACCTGTGCTGCAAAATTTGTTACCAACCTGAGGATGTTTGTGACTGTTTTCTATTTATTTATTTATTTATTTATTTATTTAATTTTTTGTCAGTTCTCAACAGGCCAAATTCAATTGCAGATTAAGTAGACCACTGTTGCAATCTGGGCGGGAGGGGATCTATCAGGCAGGTGAAGCAGAAAAACAACTGAAGATATAGGCAAGAGACAGAGTCACATGATGATGGATATATAACCTACATGGCCAAAGAGAAGTAAAGACAGGAGGTGTCAGATAAAGTAGAGGGCCAGATGATTCCATGAACTAGAAGTAATAGCAGGAGTAACAAAGCTTGATTGAGATACAGGACATGAACTATGCTAAAAAAAAAAACCTATACATTTACTACAATGTAGAAATCTATACATGTCATGAGAAAGTACAGCAGGGCTGCCATGGTGGTTATAGAACATCAGTGCTTAGGTTGAGTAGCAGGCATGCTTATACAGACTCATCTGAGGCTAGAATGTTGAGGGTATTTATTCTAGTTTCTCTCTCTTCAGGATTCTCAGAGACTAACCAATCAATTAAATAAACTAATTTTGAGCTAAGAATTTAATGGTTTAATGTGTTATGCCCTCAGAGAATGTTTATTGTGTAACAGTGGACTTCACTTCAAATGATTAAGGTATTTTAGGCACTGGCAGAAGAAGACGTAACTTAGGGGGTCAGGAGAATCTTCAACATACTTTAAAGAACATTTGTATGTCACTGTTTTCTCTGAAGATGTAAAAGTATAGCATTAATGAAAAACACCAAAGATTTTTGCATTCTTGTCTTCAGTATCAGTTTATGAACTCCTAAAGCCTTGTTAATTTTAAAACTCTCCCTGTTGCACCTCCATGCCTTAGCACAATGGATGGTACATTTTAAGCTCTCAGTATATATTTGAGAAATCAATATTTTGTAGCTATGGCAATATATTTAGTCTAGCACTATTCTTGTCCTCCTTGAATAAATCATTTAATCATTTCTCATTTCTGCATCTAAGTCAGAGGAATTTTCTTAGGTGAATGAAACAACATGGAAAATGGCATTGTTAAATTTAAAATGTTTAGACATTTAGATTTAAATTACCATGTCATTTATAATGATGTGTGACTTTTGAATCAATCATGGTTTACTTTTCAAATATTATGTTTTTGCTTATCTACAAACATACGTATACCCTAACTTTTAACATTTATTGAAATCTTACTATACGTGTTGCTATGTATTTTGTTTTAATCCTCTCAACAACCCTGTGAAGCAGTACCATTACCTTCATTTTACAAATGAGAAAACTAAAGTACATGTCTGTGAAGTAACTTACTTGAGGTCCCCAAGGAGCAGAACTCGGATTTGAAACTAGGAGTCTATATCCATAGCCCACACTTTTCCCCACCATGCTCTATAGCGTCAATTCTTTTTTCAAAATATAGTTTAAAATTTTCTCATAGATTTACTGAACTGTAACCTATGTCAAATAAAATTTTCAGTTCTATCTCATTCAGTATTTTATAGAGATAAGTTGGTTCTATGACTGGATCTTCACTTCATTCTATAAGGATGATAAATCTTTTGTTAATATTTGATTCTCACATGATTTGGGGCTATTTGAGATGTATTTTTACTTGTAAAACTCTATTTGAAGAGGGATATGAAAAACTGTCATTAGTATATCTTTTCATCTGTGCTGTAGAATATTTTTGTACTTTCTGTCATATTATAGCTTCCTAAATAATGCATGATCATGTATATACTGAGAAGTCTTTGCTTAAAAATTTATCTTTAAATAGGATAATTTTATTCTTTCTGGCAGAAATACTATAGGACTTGGAGCCTGGGATATTTGACTACAAAATTCTAACACTTGATACCACCACAATATATTATTTGACTTTGACAAGGTACCTGCCTCAGTGTCTTCAGCCATAGAAATATAATCCTTACCTTGAAGGATTATAGCAAGAATTGAATAATTATATACATTTGCATACACACATGCATACACACACACACACACACTCTGTCATAAATATAGTACCTAACACCCTCCATCTTGCAGTTGGTGCTTAATAAATGTTCTCCACATTTGACTGCGCTCAAATATGCTAGCTATGTTAATTCATGCAAAGATCAATTACAATGAAATATGCTACACAATATTGGTAATTATTCCCTTTGACTCTGAAAAACAATTTTGTTCTCTGAAATTTTTTTAATCAGAGCATGTTTCTGAAAATACTGCTTTCTGCTGTTTCTGAAAATATATTAGTTGCAGGACTGCTAACTCTATCCTGTGCCAGCCATTAACAATCGACAAAACAACAGGACTTTGTTTGATATCTTAATATAAAGTAATTTAATTGTTAGGAAAAAGAAAGAAAAAATTAACTTATCATTCACATTGAAAAGCCACCTTTATAGAGAGGCTAATGGAGAATAAGAAAGGCCTTTTAAAATTGGTAAATATGCTTTATAGAAAATAATTCATTAAATCCTAAAATCGCTGTAAATAGAACATTGTCTGGCACATGAAAACACTCCACAGGATTTGGGGAGTAAATATATTAGCAGTTAGGATTCTTTTTCTTTAATGATATGGAAACTGCACTCAGAATGATTATCTCCTTGCCCAGTGAGATAGTCAGTAAATAGTGGAGCTGAAATTTGACTGCAATTTATTTAACCTCAAAGCTGGTCTTCCCTCCACTTCGCCATGCAAGCTTGCTGTATGTAATATAGTATATTGTAGAAAGAAGATTTTTTTATCTTCATGAAAAATTGAATTAAATGAACTCATCCTAAATTTTTATAAGGATAAACTAAACAAAAACATAAAGGAGGACTTTTAAAAGAGCTTAAAATAATTTAAAAGAATAATAAAAATATTCGACCTTAGGGCTAATTTTTTCAGAGTATTCTATTTCATTTCCTCTTGAGTTATTAAAGAAGCCTATAAAACACCTTGAATGGTGTAAATCAAGAATCAGCCAGCATGCCATTATATTACAAGCTAGAATTAATTCTAAATTCCAGCTTTATGGAATTTTAAAATGTACAGAGTTGAAAAGGAGATATAGAAAAAGCCATTGATAGTACTTAGGTTAATTAAGTTTCATTCTCATAATTTAAAGGTAGCAGCTTTACAAAGACTCCAATCTAAGACTGACTAGACAGTAGGCAATGGTTACTATAAAAAAATAATACATCAATGGATATTCCTAGAAATTTAAATAAGTCAGGTTGAGCTTTTATGTTTATTTTTTTCTTCTGACTATAAAAGTAGTGCTTATTAGCTGTCAAAACTCTTTATATTGAGAATATAAAGAATAAGAGTGAAACTCTCTTATGATTGTGCAATCCGGAGATAGCCACTGTTAACATTTTTTTAATATTTTTTCCGTTTATTCTCAGTAAATGTATTACCCATATGCAGGATCATGCTATATGCAAAATTTTGTGTGCTACTTGGTTCACTCATTTTTTTCCTTTATGTTTTTGGAGAGCTCATCAGATTGATTCTCTCAATCCCTGATTTGATTTTCCTCCAGTGCCAATTTTGGTATTTAATGCCTCCAGTGCTGAATTTAACTTTGCTGTAGTGTTTTCAGATTTCTGTAATTTTTACTCATTTGGACACACAATCTTTAAATCTCAGCCTGTCGCCTCTTTATTTCATGCAAGATTTCAAAGAAACCTTGTAATCTTATCTGTTTTCAATAAAATAGTTTCAGAATTATTATTCATTTCCTGGTAATGAATTTTTTCCCATAAACATTTCCTCTATTTACCACAACATTCCTCTTCCCTTAATTTGATATATTACATTTTTATATATATCAAATTTTAAATCTTTTATTTATCCTTAGATAAGGAAGGGTTTGGGAGGTTCTACCATTTGCCAATAGACAGAGTAATTTTAATTGGCCCCCTTCTTCACTTAGGAGGTAGTACAATTTCCTTAGTAAATATATATCATGTTTTGATGACTCAACAAAAATCAGTGTACACTCACCTCCTCTATAGCAGTATCAGCTGTACCCACTGACTTGGTGGTAACATTTCCTTTAGTTATCTGAATTTTTAATTTTGTAGATTGCTCTTATTCCTTCAGTTAAATGTAGAGAAATTTCGGTTTCCTGGTACACCTACATAGCAATGGCGTTCAATAAAGAGAAAGCCACAAAGAGATCTCAATGTTAAGGATTTTGAACTGGTTGCATTCAATATTAACAGTTTTCTGTATTTCTATGAGCTTGGAAATAAATAAATAAAACTTACCAGAAAGAACATACAATTTTTTTCTTGTTTCATTTGAACTTTTTTGAGCCTAGATTTATGAATTTAGGCTCAAAGAGAAAGCTGTTTAGAAGTAGTACTGAACAAATGAAGTTATTTAGTTCTTGGCCAATTTAGTGATAATCTCAGCATTAAATTTTGTACTACTGTCTTGATACTCCTCTGCAATTTTTCACCTGAATTATTAGTGCTGCAACAATTCATACTTCCTACTAATTTTTCATATAATTTATTATTGTGACAATAATGATTTACTGTTCCTTATAATAATTATACAATTTAAATCTTTTTTAAAAATTCAAGAACAATTCTTTCTACCATCTCAAAGAATTTTGAAGTTGTTTGAAGTGTACTCTTTCTTTTTTGGCCAAATTGAATAAACCTCCTTTTTAAAAATCATTTCAGGCTTATAGCTTGAATCAAATACCAACTGACTCCAATGGATGTGGAAATTGTTTTCTATTTTTTGTAACATACAGATTGGATTAATATAATTCTCTGTTTTCACCTTTGTCAGAATTCTCATTGTAGAAAATGTGACACACACTGTATTTGGTAATAAATATGATTTGTGGATCCCATTGAATAGTGAAAAATCTCATCAATTGAAATCTCCTTATTGACTTATTATTGTAAATTATCTTGAATTTTAAAGTTGGCCCATGTGTGTCTGTCGACTCAAATAATCTTCATACAAAATAAATTCAGTTCCATTAAAATTTATTTTAGGCAACTACTGGATCATGATATGAATCTCTGGTCTACCCAGAGACAAGAGAAGAACAATGGAAAACAATGCAGAATAGTCTTAAATAAGCATAAAATATACACAGTCCCCTCTTTGACAACTTTTATAGAAAAATGAATAAATATAATATTGTGCTTATTTGAATTTTGTAGTCTGAGCTTTCCCCTGTCTGCCCTCTGGTGGGACTACTAATAAGTGACTGGGCACAACTAAAATAATTAATAGTGAGAGAATGCAGATTCTTCTGCATGACACATGCAGAGATGATGTATGAATCATCTGATACATGAATCAGAGATGAAATGAGATTCAGAGTCTTGCTTATCTTACTTTGCAAAGTAAGACACATAACATTTACTACTAATAGTGTGCTAGATGAAGTAGATTTGGAAGAATAAATGGCTTCAGTCACATTAACTGAATAGAAAAATAGTAAAAAAGACTGGAAGTTACTATTTTCCTTTATCACACGTGTATGTTTTCCCCTATAACTCCTTGATGACAAAATAGTAGTAGGAAAACCAATTACTTGACTATTTGGCCTTCTGAATGCAAAATTTCTGGTTTAATTTTTCTTTTTTTGTAAAAGGAAAGGGTTTTTTGTTGTTGTTTTTACTTAATTGAATTAAGTTATGATTTACTGGCATCATGCTGATACATAGTCTTCTTCCAAGATCTGAAATGGATCACTTATTTTAATGGAAAAAATGCATATGATGTAAATGGATTTATTTTAATATACTCAAATTATTTGCATTTGTGCAATCTTTCTGCGTAAAAACCTATTGTATCTCTGACATTTAGGAAAGTTCAATTAAGAGGTTCTGAAGTAATTTTGGCATTAAGGAAAGCAAATCTGTTTTTGAATGTTAGTGAAACATAGGTATCTTGCATTTAATTTCCTTAAAAATTTTGTGATTGCCAACTTTTAATTTACTAAAGACAACTGTGGTAAACTATCACCATTTCATATATTGAGGCATATTTTAATATGAAAGAGGAAGGGCAATTTCAAATTTTAAGAATTGTACCTAAGTTTATTAAATACTTCATTAAAACTCACATCTTCTAATCAACATTTTAATGTGCTCCTAACCCTGACTTCGTTATATTATACAAGTAACCTATCACAGCCTACCTAAAACATTAACTTTTCATCTTTTTTCTAAGAAACAATATTTTAATTCCATTCATACAAAATCATTTGGTTAGTTGACATGACAGAAGAATGTCTGTCATATATTTGAGGAAAAATGGTGACACATTTCTAGTTTATAATTATTTTTCTTCTTTTAGTATTGATATTAAATGTTAGAGTTTTTGTTCCCTCCATTTAAAACATAGCTATAAAAGTGCCTATCACCACCAAAGTAGTGACTTGAACCTGAACAAATTCAATCCATCATTAGAGAAAGCCATTTCCTCTTTATGGAACTGGTTTAGTGAGGTCTGATACTTAAAACGTTGGACTCCAGAAAACCACCTGCTTCTGCAGAGGTATTCAGACGAAAACTCTTGGAAGCAGGCCAGGTTTGTGCAATGCTCAAACCCATTGCTTACGTGTCTGACAGTAACATCTGGTAGCACAGATGCTGAATTCTAGAGAGCCATGATTATTTTGAGAGAAGGGAGATGTTGTCTTACACAGTTATTATCATGCTACTACCTCAGGTATTAGAAAGAGGCAATCATTTTTGTACTTCCCTGCCAGCATATGTTTTCTCAATTTTGCAGATGAAATTTCTAGATCCAGTACAACATTGAGATTAAGAATCATTCTGTGTTTTTAAGCAATATAAAGGTTTCAAAAGAGTATAAATGTGATGAAAATGTTTTGTTTTCTCCACATGCCTGCCCAAAAGCCATTGAGCTAGGTGCCAAAACTTCATAGGCTAACCCATCACAAAGAAAAGTTGATGACTATAACTTCTCTTGGTTTCACACTGTATCCTGGAGCCACTCATAAATAAGACTGTCAGATTTTTTACCAATGAAAGAATTTTTGTCTTAGTTTTGTTTATCTCAGCTGTTAAGAATTCCCTTTTCCCATTTCTCTCTCTCTCTCAGACAGATTATTATTAAAAAGGATATGACAGGTGCCAGTGCATCTATATGTTGTTTGTCTTTTAGAGCAATATCTTATATGCTGAGTGCAACCACAAAAATAATGGTCTAGAGTCTTTTGGTAACATTTACCTCTGTGACTCAGAAACTGACATTTAAAATTTGGCAGTATAGACAGTTTAGATACCTGCCTTAATTTGCATCCATTTGCCATAGTTAATGGGAATATAACAGTCATTTTAAAGGGATATAAAGATTATAAGAGTGGGTATGTACAAATTTTATCTCTCTTCTGCTGTTCACTCTGAAAATCAATCTGTATTCACTCTGAATACAAGGCTGCCATTCATTGATCTATACATTCTTTGTTTCATCAAATATTAATGATAGGCTACAATGTGTAAGACATTCTGGTAAGTGTCAAATACACAGTAGTGAATGAAATGGGCATAATCCCTGCCCTCCTGTAGTTTACAGGTTAGTCACAGGAGTTATTAATATAAATTCAAATGTCTTCAGGGCCAAGCAGATAAAGATAATGAGTAAAGCTGTGAATATAAGCCTATAATTAGTGGTGGAGGCTGTGGCTAAAGGAGAGTGAATGTTCTACTGGATAGAATTGAAATTCAAAATTTGTTTAAACAATGACTCATACCTTAAAATAAAAAGACACACCTGTGGTTTGAGAGCTTTCATTTGGCTCTCCACCCATGGGTTTGAACTTCTCCCCAAGAGTGTGAGATCTGTGTGTCCTTTCACAAGCTGGTTCTCTCATGTACCACATATCGTATGATCAACGATGGGGAGGCAGGCACCATGGAAAAGTCAGTTTTCAAAACCAGGATGAGTTTTACAGTTCTTGTTTACAGAGCAGCCACACTATAACTGGTTGGACAGCCACCTTAGGCACGGATGGCCTGCTGCTGACTGGTGCCCATGCAGTTTAGACTGGGCTGCTGTCTGCCCCAGGTCAGGTTCGGCAGCTCTGGCTGATATGCTGGTTTACTTAATTGGTAGTGGCTTTTAGCCCATTAACATCCAATTTACCGTCTTATAAACTAGCAATTGTCTTTTCATTCATAGCATACAATTTCATTGCTTTCTAAAGGGTGAACTGCCATGAAGTTACTTTAATGTAGGTCAGACTACCTATAGGGCAGAAGTCTCCACGCTGTTTTGGTTGAGCATCATAGCAAAATTTATAAAACAAAGATAAATAAATAATAACAAAAATAACCATTTGTCTATGCACCATATATAGTATGTGTATATATATATATAATAATACTTTATTATATTTTATGTGAATTACAAAACCTATGTAAAAATAGAAATTTTTATAGGGATGGAATATCTTAATATTTTTACAGACTTTAAAATCTGGTCATCCATATGCCACATAGCAGTGGTTACAAATTAAATGTAGTAATGATAAATAATAATAAACAATAGCAATGACAATAAAATAGCAAATGCTAACATTTATTTGAGTGTGTTTATTACCTTCTAGACACAGTTAACATCAGAGAAATAGAACAAAGTAATTGCCAAATGTATTTTCTAACTTATTTTATTGTAAAATAAAACTGTTAATGTCTTCTCTATTAATGTCATTCTTTTTCATTATTTAGCATATTAAAAGTAATATCTTTCTAATAGTTTATATGTTTTTTTAATAACTGATATTATTTGGGTAATGCCTAATTAGTCTACTAGTGTAAGCTTGATTTTCTTTGATCAAGGGTTTGTAAGTATGGTATATTATAGAAAGTTATCAGCAGTAATTTCCAAAACTTTGAACAGAAAACTTGACAAAAAATAATGTGATGAAGAGATTTAGGTTTCTGTAATACAAATAGCAACCTTCAGTGGTGTTTCTAAGATCATGGATCCAGTTATTTGCCCTTGCCCCTAATAGACCGTGCCATGGCAAATAAGTTAACCTAATACAAATTTGTTCTATGATTTGAACCTTCAAAATATTGTGAATAAAAACTTAGAAAGCTTTTGATTATTTCTTTCTGTAATGGTACATGA